GCCGTGGCGGAGAGCGAAGGCGAGCCTGCGTCGCGTGCGGTCACTACCAGAGCATAGTCCGACACGCTCTCTCGGTCCAGGGCGCTGTCCAGCACGAGCGAATAGTAGTTCTTGAAGGTGGACACCAGCTTGAAGGGGACACGGGGTGTTAGTGAGCAGGTCACCTGCCCGTTGGCACCAGAGTCACGGTCAGTTACACTGATTAGGGCAATGACCGTGCCGGGGGGAGCATCCTCTGGAACAGACAACGATAGTGACGTCACTAGCAACTCCGGAGCATTATCATTAATGTCCAAGATTTCTACCAAGATTGTGCAGTGACCAAACATCGGGGGATTTCCTTTGTCAACTGCTTCTATTTGAAGTTTCCATAATTTAGTTTCTTCAAAATCTATTTTTCCGTTTACTTTTATTTCTCCACTGGCTGAATCTATGCAGAAAAAGGCTTCTGTATTAGAGGAGACATCAGTTGCAAAAGAATAAAGAATGTGGCTGTTTGAACCTTCATCCAAATCCGAGGCGTTAAGTCTAATAACCAATGTACCGTTTCTCGAATTCTCCAGTAATTTTACACGATGGACTGCTTTGTCAAACACTGGGGGGTTGTCATTTACATCCAGCACTGTGATGTGTAACTCTGTGCTACCTGTCAGCTCAGGTTTGCCCCCATCAATTGCTTGGAGCACCAAGAGAATCTCTGAAGCGACTTCCCTGTCTAAGAGTTTTTTTAGTACTAGTTGGAGCGGTTTTACCTGATCATCATTGGTGGGTACTTCCAGAGAGAAATACTCACTGGGGCTCAGTTTGTAAGTCAGCAGAGCGTTGGCCCCGATATCTGCATCAGAGGCGCCCTCTAGTGAAAAATGAGAGTCAAGAGCCCTTGTTTCGGAAATAAACAATTTTTTTTGTGTTGCTGGGAATACAGGCGGATTATCGTTAATGTCCTTCACCTCCACCTCCACATGGAAAACCTGCAGCGGCCTGTCCACGATCACCTCCAGGTGGATGCTGCACTCCGCGCTCCGTCCACACAGTTCCTCCCGGTCGATCCGAGAATTCACAAACAAAATGCCATTCTGCAGATTTACCTCCAGAAGATCCCCGTTACCCTTGGACGCCACTCGGAAGAAGCGCGGCACCAGCTCTGCTAGCTCCAGCCCCAAGTCCTGGGCGATGCGGCCCACGAAGGTGCCGTGTTTGGCCTCCTCCGGGACCGAGTAGTGGACCTGGCCGCTCTCGGCCTCCCACGCTGTAAGGAGCAGAACCGAGAGCAGCAAGTGCTTGGTTCCCTGGCCACCTGGTCCTGAAGCTAACATCCTGCTTCGCTTCTGGTTAGTAAATCAACATTTCATGAGCGGAAAGGTGTAGTTCTTTTAGACCTTCCGAGTCTTTGTTCCTGAGATCCCAATTGATTTTAACAACATGGGTGTGTACAGAAACCGTGGAGATTCTTTCTGGCCCGTGAATTATCGTAATTTTCTTCTGTTTAAAGAATCCTCTCCTTGGAGAACAACGACATCCTGTGGCTCAAAATGGAAGTACGTTTGTGTTTATACTATTTCTTTCATTTCTATTGCTTCTCTCATAATTCTTTCATATATTGGTCCATGTTTTACTTTGTAGGCTTTTAATTTTTTCTTTATACATTCCTTATCTGTGACCACTAGCTCTTTAAAGGTGGTTTTGTCTTACAAATTAGAATCCTAAGAAAAGTTTTACCTTGGATATAGACGTTTAAGAGAACGTACTACTGGACTAACTATACTATCATGTATATAAACACGAAAAGTCCATATTTGTAGGTTACTAGTGATGCTGTGTTTTTTAGACTTTTAGAAATTGATCATTTTGGAATGGCCTCTTATTAAGTTTACTCTATTGCTAACACTACAATTTCTATTGCTTAATAATTATACTACGTTAAATTATTCTAAACATTTAGTTCAACTGTGAAGAGAATAACTCAAGATTCAAGTTCTCTAAGTTACCACCTCAACGTAATGGTGTTTCAAATCAATGCTGATATGCAAGCTACATACCAGTTTATCCAAAGATTTACTTTATTTGATATTAATGATTTTTACCATGTACTGACTCCTAGAAATACAAAGTATATTTATCTTTGGCTCCTTTTAGAGCTTTTTCAATTACTGTATCTGCTCAGGGTGAATGTTGTAGTTTCCATTCTGAAGGACAACTTAAATATGCATTACATCCATTGCTATTTGCAAAATAATTTCTTTCTAACCCCTCCCAACAAAAACCCACTGAATCAGGAATTCAAGTTATATTTTCTGTTTGTTTATGCCCATTTTATTCCAGAATTGGTTCACAGAGACTAGAGTATAAAAGCATTCTAAACCGAATTAATTTACTCAATTTTATTTTCCTGTTCTTATCTCAGATGCAAAAACCAAGTGGAAATTTGCATCGCAACTGTTATCAATTGCAATAAAGCTTATCAGTCTTATATTAAAAGTTTTAATCATTCTCAAGACTGTTAAGAAGCCAACTATTCAATATCTGAAATCCTTCTGATAAGATGGCAGCCACTGGGAAAATCCCAAATTTCTCTTTTGAAAAAAAATTATAAATGGCTACCCAAGGCAATCTTAGGTTATATGTGAAAGTGAGCGGCAGTCTTCATTTGGAACACTTTTAAAGATAGGATTCAATGATTATAAATCTATGCAAAAGATTTATAGTTCTAACTCCTTGTAATTCTTTTTTAAATTGTGGAAGCCATAAACTCAAGACATTCGCATAAAGAGGAGCAAAAAAAATTTTAGCACATGGGGGTTACTAAATTCAGAAAAAGACATGACTAAGACATGACGCCTTGTGTTTGCTGATTTAAATAATCTGGTCCCTTTGAGAATATGCCTTACTGAAGGTCCATTCCATTTCTGGTTTAAGGAATTGCTTCATTAGTTAAATACACATTAAAGATAGTTTTTAAGCCCTCAAATTCCAAGGCTATCATTTAGCTAAATAACTATAGTATACCAATAAAGCTATGGCTTGGTTACTCATCTTAAAATAGACTACAACAAATACTATGCCATCAAGAGCTATAGAGTACTCATGATTAGCCTCATTTTAATGCCATTTAATAAAGATTATATTAAACATGATTATAAAATTAAAATGTTGGGGCGCCTGGGTGGCTCAGTCATTAAGCGTCTGCCTTCGGCTCAGGTCATGATCCCAGGGTCCTGGTATCAAGCCCCGCATCGGGCTCCCTGCTCCGCAGGCAAGCCTGCTTCTCCCTCTCCCACTCCCTCTGCTTGTGTTCCCTCTCTCACTGTGTCTCTCTTTGTCAAATAAATAAATAAATAATCTTAAAAAAATAAAATTAAATTAAAATGTTACTGTTTTTACATTTATTTATTTATTTCAGAGAGAGAGAGACTGAGCACATGGGAGGAGGGGCAGAGGGAGAGAAACTCAAGCCGACTCTCTGCTGACTAGAGCCTGATGTGGGGCTCAATCTCATGAAACCATGAGATCACAACCCCAGCCAAAACCAAGAGCCAGGCATTCAACCAGCTGTGCTACCCAGGCACTCCAAAGATGTCACAGTTTTAAAAGAAATTGACTAATTTCTTTTTTGGCAAGAATGTTAAAAGAAATCCTTAATTTGGAAAATTTTCTGGTTTCATTCTGAAATTTCCATAATTCTGAATTAAATGAAAGAAACTTTCCATAAAGTTTTTAAAAATATTTATCTTAAAACAGAGACGGGGGTGCCTGGGTGGCTCAGTCAGTTAGGCATCTGCCTTCGGCTCAGGTCATGATCCCAGGATCCTGGGATGGAGTCCCTGGGATGAGCAGGGAGCCTGCTTCTCCCACAACCTCTGCCACTCCCCCTGCTTGTGTGCTCGTTCTCTCTCTCTCAAATAAATAAATAAATAAAATCTTAAAAAAAACAGAGACAGAGGAAGACAATGTCAGACTAAAAACAGTAAAATCTGTCTTTGCTAGCTCTCAACTACTCCTGAAATCTCACCCCATTTCCTCTCCTATCTGCATTTCCTTCTCCAAAGACTTTAAAAATTATTATGTTGTTGGATAAAATGGTAACTGGTTGTGTTAAATTTTTGGTAAATGTTTATGTTTTAAACATGCCCCCCCAAAGCAAAGTAAAATAAATAGGACTAAACTAGTAAACACACAATTCTGTGTTTCATTAATTGCTCAGATGAAGAGATACCTTTGGATAAGATTTTTTTGCAAGGGGGACACAGTGACATAAAGGGCCAAAAGAGAAGAGAGATATAAGAGAAAGGAATTCTATATACAAGTTGAAGTACTCTGCATTCACTTATCATCTGTAATCTCTGAGAATTGGAGACTGGCCATGGGAAGTATTAACATAAGAAGGCAATGCCATGCTTAAATTCCTGCCACAACTGTCTTTTTTGGTGTTCCTAAACTTGAATAGATATTTCAGGTTTTATTGGAAGCTATTTGTGAAGCACATACAGATTAAAAATTCAGCTTGTATACAGAAAGCAAAAAGTATTGCTAAGAACCAGAGTCAAGAAACTAGTTGCACTATTATTTTTTGGTAACACTGGACTTAACAAAATAAACAAAAATGAAATCATAGGTATCAGGTAACAACCAGTCTCAGAAAGGAATATTGAATAGGATAGTGTTGGCACCCTACAATTTAATTGTCTTGCATTTCACAGTCTACCCTATCCAACACAACCCTGGTTTAAGATGACTAGAGAGGGGCACCTGGGTGGCTCAATCCTTAAGCGTCTGCCCAGGGTCCTGGGATGAAGCCCCGCATTGGGCTCCTTGCTTTGCAGGAAGCCTGCTTCTCCCTCTCCCACTCCCCCTGCTTGTGTTCCCTCTATCCCTGTGTCTCTCTATCAAATAAACAAATAAAATCTTTAAAAAAAAAAAGATGACTAGAGAAACTATAAACTAAATTGCACGCTATGATCACAAATCAGTAGAGAACGTTCTAAGAGAACAATTCAGCTTTCTCTTCAAATTTCTCATATTAATTTGGACTAAAGTAATTATTTTCAGCCTCCTTAAAATTAAGTGATTTTCAAATGTTCTCCATTATTAAATGTAATCATGACTCTTTCTTCACAGTGCAAAATCTTATACTTGAACATAATGCAGTATTTCATTCTGATAAAGGAGATCATGAAGAGCTACTGCATAAAATTATGTAAATAACTATAAAGTTTTTCTTCTGCTAAAAAAAAGTGAATAGTACACACTGGCAGAGATACCACCACTACCAAGATAAAAATGAGAAAACATTTTAAAAGCTCAAAATCCTTAATTTTGTAGATTAGGACATTTATAAATGAACTTCAAGTTTACATAGAGTACCATTAAAAATAAAATATAAGCACTGAATACTGAGGATATAGTATGGATTATAAGCTATATTGCACTACAGATAGACTGGTGTTGAAGTATTCTTAATGTGTAGCAATTAGGTTGTTTTTCACTGAATAGTTTTCAGGTACAGTGGCAGCGCAGCTTTAGGAATTCAATATGATTCCCATGGCAGGTTTTAAATGAAATTGATTTCAGCACCCAGTAAATATTTACTCAATGTATGGATTTTAATGATTTGTAATTGGAAGTCAAAATACAAAAGGCAGGTATAAACTTAAAGTATTCAACTTCCGAATAATAAATAAGAAAATATTGGCAGATCTCTAGAATAAATTAGTAAAAACTATTTAAAAACACCATCTGCAATAAGAATGTCTTTCACATTTCAAAAATAAATATATAAGTGAATAAAATATTTGAGAAACCCACCTTTCCAGAGAACTCCAAAGAAGCTTGTGGATCTTCCGTCGCATTTAGAGATCCAGGACACGGAGGAAGGCTGGGGCTGAAGGCCATGAGGTCGGTCTTGGGCGGGCCCTCCCCGGAGCACACCCTCTGCCGCCTCTGCTG